TTTACTAGAATTAATTCAAAGTCAGCGCTCCAATTAAAATTTCACCCCGTCACTCCTTCCTTTGGATCTACTGTCGGGTCGGTCCACGATGCACCATTAATATATTCGATTTGGGAAGATATTAATTTGAACTCGCTATTATTATCGCTAGCAGATTTACTAACGAAGGTGTAGCTGCTGTTTAGATACGTGGATGGCTTAGTAGGGTCCATTTTCCCATTGGCATGCCAAAGTTATAGGTTATATAGAAGCACTCTTGGTCACCAAAATTCTACGTATTATTGCATTGCATTGCGGCTATATGTGGCTATATGTGGGGCCATGCGTGCTTGTTGCTTCTGGCACGGTGAAATTATAGCTGCTATGAGAATTTCGTGAATCCAGGTAAAACTATCAGATTTTCATGCTTTGGTAATAATTGCTGTGCTCTTTCTCTCTCTCTATCTCTCTGTTCCTCTTTCATTTAATGCGTTTTACTTTTATCCGTTCTCTTTTATTTCTAGTTTTAAAGTAATATCCCACAAATTTCTCGACCCCAAGTCCAAACTTTCCCTACGGGTCCGCCTCGTTAGTTTTTTAACATGCGCTTTTCATGCCAAACTAAATGCAAAAAATGTGTTGGGCCAAGGCGAACACGAGCTGACACTTGCTGGCTTTTTGTTTTTTACTGAATGTTTTATTGTTGAAAATTTTACATATTACTTTTCATGGAGAATTATGCAAAAACATTATCCTTGCCGTTGTAAACGAGGCACATAAAAACTTGATGACAGGTGTAGCAAATTATGATTATTATTTTAAATACCCTACCCCTCCCCCACACACACTCCCAAACACACACACCAAATCATCAATTCACGTTTGCGTGCTTTTTATGTTTCCGTTTTCCCTTTTTGTATTTTGCCAGCATTAACGAGCTCAACTTTGTTATCTCACGTAAAATTTTCTTGAAATAGAAGGGTGGAAAGGTGGATGGAAAAAAAATTAAAAATAATCTCATAGTTTTCCATTTGTTTAGTTTAACTTTATTTGTGCAGTGGTTCAAGGTCTATTATGGATTTTATGCTTAAAATACAAATATTAAACAATTATTAAAACAATATTTTCAATTACGTGTAGGATATGTAAAAAAAAACAAAAGTAGTCGAATTTTTTTTAATATAATCAGGCGAGTCTAATAATTATCATATCCAGATCTGCTATGGAGAATATAAAAATAATAACGATATATCGATAAAACACAAAAGAGGAAGAAGAATCGAGCTTGAGCTTGGGAGTCTATGTGAAATGTGTGTATTCCCTGTTGTGCGTTGCTTTTGGCATATTTAAAAGTTTATTTTCTTTAAGTACAATTTTAAGAACTTAAAGAAGTAAGGTGCTTATAAAATCCATCGATATATATATATATATATATATATACCTTAGGGTATTACCCGACTTTGCCCATGGCAAGTTTTGTGCCAACATTTATAAAAATTAATTTTTAAGTTTTTATCTTGTGATGAGAATCTTGAAGCTGTATAAATAAACTTTAAGCCTTTGACCCGCATTTTCCATCAAGTAAATTTTAACAAATATATCTAAAAATCAGGTTGAAGCCGATCCAATGGTAAACAAAGAAATTGGATGCAATAGCTTTCTGCTAAATTTGTACACAATTTAAATTTACACATTTACACATGGAATTTCGAAAGTCGCTCAAACATTTGAATACGTATAAAACTTCTTATATGGGACTTTGAAAATAAAAAGCTTAAGCCTTCACCCAAAAATCTTTCTTTGCATTTTGCAGCAATAGAACTTGGATTTCGTAAAAATTGTGAAACACCTCTCAAACGAATTTTCATGAAAACTCTTTCGAAATGAACTTGAACTGGAAAATTCACCCATCAAATTGTTGACGCCCTTTTATACCAAGGAGGGATGGATTTTTCGGAAAGTGTGAAACATTCCTCCAATGAATTTGAAAAAACTTGTTTGAAAATGATTTTGAGGCCAATCTTACGTGTGGCATTTTTAAAAGTCCTGCCTTACCGTGATCCTTCACCACATAAGTCAAATAAGACACACATTCTTATGTACAAAACATAATAAATTATTTACAAATATTTTTGTAGAGTAGATTTTCCAATCCAAATCTTTAAGAGTGTTGAATAATTGCCTACTCACAATATATTGAAAATCAGGTTTCCTCCTTACGTCCTGTTGAAAACCCATAGAATAATAGGGGCTACAGAAAGAGAGAGTTGCCTAGTCAAATTTGTCAACATAACTTTGATTAATTAAACTTTTTGTACTTTGCAACAACTCCTTGCGAGCAATTTACTCTTTGTGACTCATTAAACTTTGGGTCCAAGTTCTAATAGGCGCGTTTTGAAAAGGCCTGAATTTTTTCATTCTGCCTTTGCCCCTAATAAAAGTCAAAAGTTGACAATAACAACAACAACAGCGAGCAATAATAGAAGCGACAGCCGCAACAGCAACAACAACACACCGAAGGTGTAAAGTTGTTTATTCTCACACGGCTCACATGACGTATGCGTAATTTATGCCGTAGATGTTTGCACCAGGTCGAAATAAATGCGCAGACAGCAGCTGCGTGGCTCGCATAAGCGGTTTAATATTTCTAAACTTTGGCGCAAATGTGATGACTTCCTTTGCATTTCCATTTTGTGAGTGCCGATATTTTTATTATGTGTACCATGTGTGCTGTTATTTGCGGATTGGCGGATTGAATGGAGAGCCCAAATTGCTCAGCCAGAAGATCGAAAAGCTATAAATACACTGCGCGTCATCAGATTAGCCCCCCCGCCCCTTACACTCGTTACTTATTTACTTATTTTGGCAGTGACGGATATCAAATTTATGTTGCTGCTTAAACTATAAAATTTCTTTAAATTAACGCTTAATATAGGGAGAGAAACAGTCTTATCTTTGGAAGAAAAATCAAAGATTGAAGCATACTTCGATTCTGGACTATCCTTCCATAAAATTGCTGACAAAATCGGGAAGATACAGAAAAACGATATCCAGTTTTCTTCGGAGCAAGGAAGACTGTGGAAAAAACATCTGAGGCGGCAACAATCGTGTGGCTTACCAAGCAGTTAGCAGAGCTATACTGTGGGAAGCGTCAAATTCGCACAATTCGACTTCCATAATAAAAGAAAAAACAGAAGTTAAATCAAGCTTTTGAACGGTGCAAGGAGTGATTAAGAAAGCAGATCACTTAAAAAGATTCAAACTAAAAAAAACTACCACTTAATATGCTTAGAAAAGAAATGCGATTAAATGTTGCTCGAAAGCACATGTTCTAAGTGACACTACGTTGTCTTTTCAAATGAAAAAAAATTTAATTTCGTATTATTTTTATGATCTACGTAAAGCGGAGCATCATTTGGACTGCCTCCACAGCCGTGAGGGGGGTGTAATAGTGCGGGGACCTATATCATACTATGTCACCTGCGAATTGCAGTTTTTAACATCGCGTTTGAATGCTTTTTCCCACTTCCAAAATGTATTTGGTGATCTGAAATTGCATTTCCAGCACGATAATGCCCCAATTCATACTGCCTGTTCCGCGAAAGCGTGGCCTCAGAGCCAAAAAGTTGATGTCCTTAGGTGGCCACCATACTCACCTGACCTAAATTTCATCGAGAACGTTTGGGGTTGGGTGGCTTCAGTCTTGCGCGTCGCACGTAAAAAATAAATTCTCCTACGGATCGGACGGTAAACAAAACACGTTCATGCAACCATTTTCGCTGAAACACATTTTCATTAGGTTCTTAAATAGACCTTTGAAAATAAGTTTAATGCAAATCGGACAAAACTTAAAACTTCACCAAAAAAATCTTAGAATCGCATTTTCCACCGAGAAAGCTTTGATTTTGCGTAAAATGTGAAGCACGCATTAAATGATTTTTTATATAGATCCTTGGAAATTAATTTCCATTTCCACCAAGGAGGAATGCAAATTTTTTAAAAGTGTGATACACTCCTAAAATGAATTTGATAATCTTTAAAAAAGAGCGAGGCCGATTGAATGGTAAACAAGAAAGTGTCATAAAAACGCTTTTCGCCATATATATATCCACACTTGCGGCTGAAATTTCCCGGAACCCCGTCTAAATGTGCACCTTCATCACGAAAGGTAACTACTGTGCCTTAATCACCAACCGTCAGTCAGGACAAATAGTTTTAAATTTGGAGAAAATCAACTGCAAAGATAACTAATTAAGAATATTTTATTTACCGAAAGCTTTTAAAGCTTGTCAAACTTAAAAGTGCATAAGACACAAATAATCAGTACTTATTCTTGCCTGTACAGCATATATATTGTTATACTTTTTATTTTTTTACCTACATATCATATCATATCAATTTTTTCTTAACTACATATCATAATTGGCAATATTGAAAAATTTATTTAAACTTGTTGTCCGTTGAAAGTTTGATAACTTTAAGCTTTAAGCCCAACGGTCACACTATTTCGTCGTGGTCCCGCCAAAGCAAATGAGCATATTCTTATAATTACTATATTGCAAATAAATGGAAAAATAGCTTATATGCGAAATGGCTTGTCTAATTTTACTTATATATTTAATTTCTTCCAAATAGCAGTAAAATAAGCGTTTATATTATTATTTAGAATAAGCCGCCGTTTTTGTTTGCACCGACAGCGTTGCCATATGTGCTTAAACTTATTTCAGAGTTTAAAAAAGAAAATTTGTAAAATTGGACTTGAAATAATTTTAAAAATAATATAATATTATATAAATATTTAAAATTTAATAGTTTTTAATATATCATGTGGATCAGCACATCAATAAATCAATACTTGAACAATATTTTCAGGGCTGCCTTACAAAATACGCGCTTAGTATATTTCTACGCGTTTTCGGTATTTTCAGTTCGCCTGAGTATTTCACAAGATGTTGGCTTAGAGTTGCCACTGCGAGTTAGTTTGCTAGAGACATCCGTGGTGTGAACATACTTTTGTATGTGGAAGTTAGCAACAATTTAATTCTGTGCTAACACTTGGCAACTCAAAATACATATGTATATACATAAATAAAAACATATGCAGTTGCAGTGCATATAAGCAACAAATTCAACGTGCGAGTCGAAAAAAATATAACAAAAAATCGCAGCAAGAAAGAATCAAGTGAAAAATGTAGCAACAAGAAATATAATTTGCATTGGTGCCTGTATGTGTATGTGTGTGAAAGAACGCTTTTAGTGAGCAAAAAGCGCCAACTACGAGTAATCTAATGCAGTGGGTAACTTCTGAATATTGAATTAATAAGGAATTTAAATAATAACAACAACAATAGGAAAATCGAATCGAGCAGCAAAAACGAAATGCGCGTGTAAGAGAGTGAGAGAGCAAAGAAATTTGGGCAAACGTCAAACACACACACACACTACAAAACAACTCACACACACGTGCCGCTGCCAACGTCGACGCGCCGTCTGTTGTGTGACCAGAGTTGAGACTCTCATTCGCTCTCAGAGTGTTGCTGCGGGGGCGGTGAAGCTGCTCGGCAATAAGTAAACGAAAAGAAAAAAGGAAATGTGTGTGCAGGCGATTAACATTTAATTTTTATACAAATTGCATGTTAAATGCTTGTGCCTCGTTTTGGGAGCATTTCGTTGGACGCTGCTGAGTTGGCAACACTGTTAAAGAGCGCAAACACACACACACGCACACAGCCAAACTGCATGCCGTCGTCGTCGTCGTCGTCGTGCCTCGCTCGCTCGCTCGCTCTATTGCCGCTCGTTTTAATTTTCCTCAATGAATGAAAATTTTTCACGGTAAAGTGGTCGTCGCTGTGCCAGTCGCAGTCGTTTTGTTTTGCCGTTTACGCGAGCAGCGCGGCGGAGTCGAACGAGTAAAATAAAATACAAATATTATAAAATACAAACAAACACACACTCATCGATTTTACACACTGTGCATTGCGTTCGTATTATATTTGCAGCAGCAACCGAAGCAGAATTTAATAATTTATATGTTAGTGTTGCGAGTTGTGAAATAAAATTTCTATGCCATTTTGCATAACAAAAACCACAACGCAACCAGCCCCTGGCAAAATAAAATAACACGAGTGACAAAAAAAAAAGAATCACACACAAACACACATACAGACTTACCAAAGTATACGCAGTCAGCAGAAGCAGCAGCAAACGGACGCCTACGTCAATAAGCAAAACGGTAAGCGCAAATTCTCACACACAATTTTTTCTCTCCCTCGCGCTAGCTTGCTCTCTTTGCCCTTGTCGTGGCTCGTGTTGTATATTTGCCAATTGGAAAATTTCATAACTTTGTTTTCCAACATGCGAAAATATTCTTACACACATACACAAACACACAAGCACTTGCTCTTACGATAGGCAGCGGCAGCGGCTGCGGCGCTCGCTTCATTCATTTCTGCGTTGCGACACACATACAGACAGGAATAAGCAGGCGTAAATTGTGAAACTCTCGCACTCTCTCGCGCTCGCCTGTTCACTCATGCTGGCTAAAATAGAGTGACCATAGTGCATCTGCTTTGTGTTGTAGCTGGTCAGGCCAGAGAGAAATCTTTTGATATTCTAACATGTCTATTGTTGTTGCTGTTTTTGTTGTTACTCACTACTATATTGACATACAAATTATACCGACAATACTAATTTTTGTTCCTTTGTTGTTGTCTCCCATTATTATTTTTTCGCTTTACAATTTTCGCATAATATTGAGCGCAAAACAAAAGCCACAGAAGCTTGTCGGCTTGACAATAAAATTAAATACAATTCGTAAAAATTAAGTTGAACAATGTACAGATTATTTACATCTAAATCTACATACATACATATGTATGTATGTTCAACGAAATGCTTTGAATTATTGATTATACATTTTAAATTCTAAAAACATATGTAAATAGATATATCTAAATTTTTCATTGAGCTGACAATTACACAACAATGCACACAAATGCAATTAGAGGCCAATGCAAATGAATTTCCTGCCAATGTGCGATCAACATTGTCCACCAGCCTACGCACCACTGTGCAACTCACTCGCTTACTCTCTACGAGCGCTGGCTCACTCACTTCACGAACACGTGTGCAAGTGTATGCAAGTGCCTGTATAATTAGCACTCACTCACTGCAGCAACTGTGTATCGCACTCCGTTCTTCTCTCTCTCTCTCTTACTCTCCCTCTCGCGATTCTTATTTGCTTTTGATTGTGCGTGAGTGATAATTACCAGCAAATTACTGAACGCACTTAGCAACAACAACAATGGCACTGAGTTGTAATCGATGTACGGTGCATATATGAGCCAGTAACGGCATATACGACAAGACCGCAACTCGTGCTTAATTGACATTTATTATTTGAGTTTTTATTCTCACTCGGGAACTAATTATTTTTATTGACTCTTCTGTGTATATACATATGTATGTGATTGTATATGTGTGTGTGTGTGGGCGATGCTTTTGTTTGGCAATTCAAAAATGAAAAAAAAAATATAAAAATAAAATACTACATGAAAAAATAAATAAAAACAATAGCTACAATTTGCCACTTGCGCCTGCTGCCGCCGCCTCCGCTGCTGCTGCATTGAAATTGTTTGTAATTAGAGAACATTCGGAGTGGTCGAGTTTCTAGGAATTTTAATGAAGCCCGCAAAAACTGTTTGTTTCACATAAACACAATTGGCACACACACAAACACACACACACACACACACCGATAACATTTGAAACAATTGCCAGACCCGACAGCGACACTCGGCGCAATCGCCGATGTCGTCTTTGCACAATAAATAACCAAGAACGTTGCAGTCGAAAGTTAAAGACTGCCAGATACCCTGTTCTTGCTATCGCTGAAAGGTGTTTTTGAAAACTAATAACGATGACCTTTAGGTCCTTGGTCGAAAATCTGCTTTAGTTTAAGTTTCTCTTATAACAAATATTCAGGAATATCAATTTATATTATTTTTATTGAACTATTATATTAAACGTAAATTAAATATATATAGAAAAAAATATTTCAGTAAAAATAAAAAACTATTAATGAATTAATTCACTAAAATAGTCAGTGCGCAAATATACTCGCTTTTTAAAATAGTGTTAAATAAATAAAATTAACTTTAAAGCACATTCACGATCTTTGCTTATATTTATTAAGACTTGATGAGGTTTGGTATTGCAATGGCTGACAATTGTTGATTAACAAATTGGTTTTATTTATGCTATTTTTTCTTTTACAAATTGATTTTGTGGCAGAAATCAGCTTTATTATACTGCGCACGTTTTTCTAGTTTTTGTTGTTGTTGTTTTTATTCTGTTTGTGGTAGTTGGGCCTATTATGGCAGGACAAGTGCGTTTCTTATGGCTAGGGGCAAGTTTCTCAACTACACTGAGAAAAATATAAGCAAATCTTTTATTCTACACTGTTAAAACAAGTAAGTTTTGAATTTGATTTAATCAAGGAGGGCTGCAAATGTATTTCCAAATATTTCCTTAATTCAATAAGCAGATAGCTTTAATAGACTGCAAGTTGATTTAAAGAAAACATCAAAAAAAGAAAAAAACAATAGCTTTTCCATAATTTAAGATCAATTATCTCAATGTAAACAAATGTTACTAATGTAAGACTTCAATCTTTAATCTGACTTAAACCTTGAAGCTGTCTTCTTAGACTTACAGTTGTATTTCATATAATTTGTCATATATTTGTTTCAAAATATGTCTCACATAAACCTCCGCAATAGATTATTGTTCACATTACGAGATCATTAGAGCATACGCAAACACATGTATTTATGCTTAACTTTAATATAAATCCATCACAAATAAAAAAAACTTAACTGGCTAAATCCAAAGCCAAACAAGACAAAGCCCAGACAGACAGACGAGTGAAAAAAAACGAATCGCTGCAAAGATCCGAAATAAAAACACAAAATAAAAATAAAAACATTTTTAATGGTCTTATGTGTCTGAGCTCTATTGTAGCGACTATACGAAAACTCCATGCTCACGTCCAAATGCTCATGGCATCATGGGGCCAACAGCAGCAGCTACAACAACAACAACACCAACAACATCATCATCATCATCAACGCTGGAGATTGATGCGAAGAAGACGCAAGAGAACCGACGCCAACGGCAGACAGTAGTAAATCAGCTAAATGATGCATTCTTAGGAAGCTATCGGAAAGTGGGTTTTACTTGATATATGATCAAGTTTGCAACCTGATCAAATAGCCTAATTTCGAAGTCAACATTTCGTACATTTTTGCGAATGTAACATTTATTGCTAATGTGAAATATGTTGCGTGTACGTTTTCCCATTAGAATCCACATTTTAAGAAAATATAACATTCGACAGAAATGTTGGTATTCGTACGAGTAAAAGTAGCATTACCATAAACAGCTGATAGAGCAACGAAGGCAAGCGGTAACTTTAAATATTAGTTTTCAATTATACTAATCGCACAGTTTTTAACATATTAAGATGCCCAAATCCCTAAAAATCCATTAAATGGAATCCCTACTTCAAAGCCGAAAACGCATCAGCTGTTTATTTGAAGAAACGGTACTTTTGTCATTGTGGAATCGCAGAATGTGAAGATTGTAAATGTAACATATTTTGAGCATAGGGGAATCAGGCTAAAAGGCTGTATACTCCTATTTATATTTTATGAAAATCGATAGTATTAGTAACTAAAATAAAGGTTAACTAAATATTTATCGTTAATATTTGTTACATATTCAATATATGTTATATCATATTTTCTCGGTTAATAAAATTCACATATTCAAGCTATATGCCAAAATAATAAGGCTAAAAAACTTGAGCAAATTCTGAACATGTATGAAATTTAGATCTTAAGGCCCTCACTTCACAATAATCGTTTGGTTTGATATGTTGCTGTAAAAAATCAAAACTTTCTTTCCAACACTTTAATTGGAATAGGATACTTTAAACGTCGGTGTGAACTTCTTTCGGGCTGCTTTGTGGAATTCTGCGAGTTGAATATCATTTGTAATGCCTGTGCTAAGGGCACCAAAAGAATTCTTGCCATTGGCGATGGGCTGGCAGATCTCATCAGCAATCAGCCCAAGATCCAAGCACTCTTGAGCATTAGCTGCATTAAAAAGCGGATGGAGCCAACAACAACAACAAAATTACAGCAAACGCGGCAGAAATCGAAAAAAAAGAGTCGATAAGCAGCGACGCGTCGCGTATACGCAGCGTAGTGAACGCCTGCCTGTGGGCATTGGTATGTATGCATGTGTGCATGCATGTGTGCGTGTGTGTTTGTGTGCCATTGTGCTTGTTGTTTTTGTTGCCGTTCTACTACATACTATAGTATGGTATGTACTATGTACGTTTAACACCAGTAGCTGTCTGACAGCTTGGCTGCCGACAGAGTCGCGTCGTTGTTGTTGTTGATTTTTTATATTTATTTTATGCTGGCTTTTTGTTCGATTTTTTTTCTTTTCTTTTTGTGTTTTTTTGAAGTTCAAGAATATGAAAAGCAAAACGCGTAAAATGAACTAAACGAAAAAAAAGGTAGCTGATTATATGATGTTGCCAACGCATGCTCTCTGTGTACTTTAGCGTTTATATATACACACATATATATATATCTATATGTGTGTATGCATGCATATGTGTGACGCTGGCGGCGATTACATACACATAGACACATGCCTCGTAAACGCGCTGCCGCTGCCTCTCGCACTCCTTCTGCTTGGTGCTTTTCTTCTCGTGCTGTTGCTGCGTTGTCTCATCTTCTTGTTGGCTTTTGGTCATTTTGTTTAGATTTGTTGCACACACACACACACACACTCACAAACACACAATTGTTTGTGTTAGTTTGAACCGGTTCCACATTGCGTTAGTTGCTGTTTTCTGTAGCTCCTGTCATTCTTGTGGTTGTGTTTGTAGTACGTGTAACTTGTCGATACGTTTATTTTTGTTGTTGTTGTTGCTGTTGTTGTTGTTGCTGCTCATTCGTTCGCTTGCTCCGACTCGCCGCCACATTCTACAAATACAAGCAGTTGTATTACAACCAACTTCTTCGACCACATCTCGACCATTGGAGCCTGTAAATAATCTGTTTCTTTTTCTGTGAATGTATGTGTGTGCGTGTGTATTTTTATATATGTGTGTCTAGATCTTGTTTTTTTACAGTTTAAGGCTTAACAAAACACTGG